CAGCAGCTACAAGGGCACGCACAAACCTAGCCGGGCAACCGCCGGCGGGCGTCGCGCAACGAGGAGGAGGCGGATCTGCGCCTCAGCGCCTCCTCTGCCGGTGAGTCGCGCCGCCTTGGATCCCCCCTGTCCCCGCCTGCTTGGAGCCGTGTGCCCGCGCTGCCGGCGCGCCGCCTCGTCGGCGTTGAACCGGCTGCCGCGGTGCCACCCGCCGCGCCCACGCGTCGGTGCTTGCGATGCAAGCGCTGAGACCGGAGAGCGAGATTGGGAGATAACTAGAGGAGGCGGAAACCCTAGAGGAGGAGGAGAACGGAAACCCTAGGAGGAGGAAAGGAGGGGAATAAGGAGAAGGGCTTACCCTTCTCGCCGGAGGAGGAGTCCCGGCGGTGGCGTGTCTCGCCGGAGAAGGAGACGCGGCGGCGCCCGCTGTTGTTCGCGTGAGAGAGAAGCGACTCTGGTTGCGCGAGCGAGAAGCAGCGGCGGATCGAGAGAGGAAAAATTCCCGACCACCGGAGGTCGGGGACCTTTCCCTAGGGTTTCCCCGCGGATTGGGCCGAGAAATCCCTGCCTCGTGGGCTTCCAAATGGACATGGAATAAAACCCGTGACAATTTCTCCCGCGGGCCTTTCTCCCAGGGAATGGGCTGGGATCCCGGTGGGATCCCGGGCTGCCAAAGGAGCCCTATGTGTGGTAGGAATCTACTTGGGATCAATTGGTTAAGGGTATTGGTTTCTTTCTTACAGCTAGTTAGGCCTAATTTGATTTAAGATTATCGAGCAGATTATTGCCATGAATCATATACTTTATTATACGGATAAATTAAATATTTTAATAAATAAACTTATAACAAACAACCTAAAACAAATTGAACTTAGCAATGTAGTAGAAGAAAGCCTTTTAAGAAAAATATATATGTTTCGGGGCATAGAGAAAACAATCTGGTTTTATAATTCGGTGAATAATCTGAAAAATAATAATTTGGTCTTAATACTAAATTGTAGTTTTCTATGTTTCTAATCACATACTTATATGAGTATATGGTTGAAAATAGCTTATGACTATTATAGTTCTAGACTACATTGTCTAACAAAATATGTTCGTCTGCATGACAAAGAACATCATAGCCCGTTTCAACTTCAGAATTATTCTAGACTAGGTTCTTATATAGAAACCGAACAAATTTCTATGAATTTTTAAACTTTTTGTTAAAATTTCCATGTGAATTTTGGATTAAGTAACTGCTCTAGTTGAATAAAACCCCTACCAAAAATCTACTAACACCGCCAAACTCTATCTGTCCCAAAATATAAGGGATTTTAGAGGGATGTAACACATCCTAGTATCCAGATTCGTAGTAAGGATGTGTCACATCCCTCCAAAATCTCTTATATTTTGGAATGGAAGCAGTATAATATAAGGAGTTTTACGGTTAAACACAAGTATTACTATTAAGAAAATATGTAGAATTAAATGTGTGAAGGTTGTTATTTATTTAGAAGAAAATATATGCGAAAAAATTATTATAATTTAGAACAAATGTTAAATATTCAAAGCTGTTATATTTTAGGACGGAGAAAGCCGAGAAGAGGAACTCTGTTCACCCTGCTTTGCAAAATACACTCGAGAAGAATCTAATGGTCAATCTCATAGTGTTTCCTATTCTCTTTTTGAGGACCATAGATATGCAATCATAGGAGCACGGTGGAGAGAGAGAGATCAGATCAGAGGAATATGAGATCACACAGAAAAGAACTACTCCCATAGGGGTAAGCTTAGACAGGATAATACCGGACCGGACAAAAAAGGCTCGGAAAAAAAGGCGCCAAGCATCGCATCGCATCACATCGAGCCAATTCACAGGGCGTCGCAAACCGGAGATTCCTAATCTTAAACATCTCCAGTTTTTGCTCTTCTTTTGTTTTTGGGCCCAATGGAGGAAGGAACTAATGTGGATTGGACTTGCAATCAATAGGCCCATCAAATGGAAAGTAAAAGGGGAAATGTATAAATTGGAATATTTCATGCAAAGCCGATGTGGATGCTAGTAAGGGCAATAGCAGCACACCACATATTTTTACCTGTCCTCACATGCCACATAAACTAAGAATTGTATTTGCTACATGCTCCATAGTGCAGGTCACTTGGGGGGAGGCTAATGGGCGATCGATCAGCGATCGGTTTGCCCCGTCTCCCCCTATACTCCTCCCTCTTCTCCCCCTTCCTCCTCCCCTTCTCTTTCTACTACAGTACACCACACAATTTTTTTAAAAAAACAAAAGTTAGAAAAAAATTATGTATAGAAATACTATATATAAAAAAAATATGAATTCAAATTCAAATTTGAATCGGGTATGTAAACTTTTGACTTATAAACTTTGGGTCTATAAACTTTAGGTGTATAAACTTTAGATGTATAGAAATACTATATATAGAAAATATTTGAATTCAAATTCAAATTTGAATCGGATATAATTCAAATTCAAATTTGAATCGGGTATGTAAACTTTTGACTTATAAACTTTGGATCTATAAACTTTAGGTGTATAAACTTTAGATGTATAGAAATACTATATATAGAAAATATTTGAATTCAAATTCAAATTTGAATCAGATATAATTCAAATTCAAATTTGAAACAGGTATATAAACTTTTGACTTATAAACTTTAGATCTATAAACTTTAGGTGTATAAACTTTAGGTCTATAAACTTTAGATGTATAGAAATACTATATATAAAAAAAATATTTGAATTCAAATTCAAATTTGAATCGGATATATAAACTTTTGACTTATAAACTTTTGGTCTGTAAACTTTAGATGTGTAAACTTGAGGTATATAAACTTTAGGTGTATAAATTTACTAAAATAGGAAAATAATATGGTGCCAAAAAGGAAACCAGGTGGAGGGGTGGAGGGAGGGAGGGGGGAGGGGATCGATCACTGATCCATCCCCAGGGCGATCGGTCGCCAAACAGGATTTCCGGGTCACTTGTGGTGGATCCCACCACTATCTTTCCTTCACTTTTCTTCCCCCCCCCCTCCTCTCTCAGCGCCTTTTCCCTGGTGGAGAAGAAGCGAGGCGGCAGCGCGGCTGAAGCAGCGATGGCGCTGGTGGTGCAGCCCAAGTGGGGGGGCGGCGTGGCAGGAGCTCGCCGGCGTGTGAGCGGGGGATGGTGCAGCGGGAGCTCAGCAGGGCACGAACTGGGGACGACGTGGCCCTCTTCGTCGAGCTGCCGCTGCTGTGGTCCTTGGCGGCGCGAAGCAGCGAAGACAACGAGGTTAGGTCATCAAATCTGTCGCCTCCTCTTCCTGACTTCCTCCGCCGCCGCCATCTTCCCTTCTTCTCCCTATGCCACCACCATCATCTTCCTTCTCCTCCCTAGGCCGCCGCCGCTGCCCCGTCGAGCTCACCAGATCCGGCCTTGGGTTCGCTGGATCTGGCGAGCAACACCATTTTGGGGGTGACGCACCTGCTCAGGGTGATGGCCTCGCTAGCGGCCGCCGCTTCGCACAGGATGTGGGGCCGTTGCATGGGGCTACTTCCTCTCTAAATGCGCTGCTCCACCAGCGCCTCGCCCCGCACCTGCAACCTCTGACAAAGACGCGTGACTTATTTTGGCTCCGCGGTCTTGAGTTGGGAATACCACGCATGCATCTGGCGAGGAATCTTCTACGTGGATGCATGGTTGGGGCATAACACCACCTCAGTACACTGTGAACGCCCTAAAAACTAGAAAGTTAATAAATGTAGGGAATGTCCATGTAACATTTTTAAGAAAACTCCCTCGTCTCAATCACTTTTAGATGGTCCAGATCATATGCCAAGATTGTGTATAGCTACAGCACCACCTATACTTTTCTTCCCTCTCCTCTCTCATTCCTCTTGTGAGTAGCAACGCTCTGCTGAGCCACATGCCTCTTCCTCAATCCGTGTTACGGTCTTCTCTGCCCACCGCGCCACCCCCGTACCTTGTTATCGAGGCTCCGTTAGCTGTCCTCCTCTCTCTTGTTCCTTCTCCAAAGTCGGATGGTAAGGTATTGTTGTGCCTGTCTTCTCTCTCATCGCCGTTGGAGATGCCTCCACCGTCCTTGTCTCCTAACCACTTTACATCTAACGTCTTTGCTGCTGATTCTGCCTATTGATAGTCTGACTGTTAGTGACTGTTATCATGGCCATCCCTTTTTAAGCTAGGGGAAATCCTCTCTTCCCCCTTCCCCAACTCTCTTACCTAATATGTGTAAAAAAAAAACTCCCTTACCTAATCTCAACCCTAAACCCTGATATGTAGGTCCTTTGCTGAAGTTAGGGTATCGCTGATGCCTGAGTAGAGGGGAAGCTTGACAAAGCTGGAGAAAAAGGAGCTAGCACAAATCTTGGCACATATCCGATGGACCAGAATCTGTAAGATTTAGCAAATCCGATAATGGTAAATGGAAATACTCACCCCCTCTGATAAAAAAAATATATTTGTTTTACTTTCTCCGTTCAAACTGTAGAAACTTTAGCTATCAGTAAACCTTGAAATACTTAGATTAAAATATAAAGATTTATGTGTAGGTTTGTCTTGAAAATTATTTTTTATAACTTTATATATGTATTTTAATAAAAAAAATTATGGACAAAATTACATCTCGAAAGGTTAAGCCATAATGTTTACAAATAAAACGGCAATTTTGGTTATGCTCTGTGGCATAAAGGTTAAAAGAGAAGAAGAGAGAATCAACTTTATCCATTAGTAAATTTTTTTAGGTTGTAGTTTTATTCTTAAAAAGACACAATAGCTTTGGGAAAGCAACAATGGGAATGTTTGGTTGAAACAAATGATTTCCCTTAGCCCTTTTGTCTTTAACACTAGCAGAATATAAATTAATTACCTCCAGTTCAGCCATTGCGAAGACGAGACTAGTTCCAGTGTCTAAATATTCTTGAACCTTATCATGCATTACTTTCAGTTTGGTAAATCTTTTTCATGGCGGCAAGCGGATAATTTTCCGAATCTTCTCAGGATGCCCAACAAACAATTTCAGCACGCAACCTTATTCAGATTCTGATACAGTGTGATGAACACAATGGACTAGAGTCAATAAAGATCCAACTCATGCACAAAATTGCCACTACTACAGCTCTATCACCAATATATACACAGCAATTGCGATAGCAACAGATCGACAGGCCGATAGAAAGATCAGCTCAACACAAGACTGCTCAGAAAACCAATGCACACTTCTTCTGTGCAGTGTTCTCTGCACTTGCTGGCCAATGTATCCTGATTCATCAATCATCTACATCTTTTGTCAGGATATATATATATATATATATATATATATATATATATATATATATATATATATATATATATATATATATATATATATATATATATATATATATATACATGAAGGTATATGAACATGGGCTATTTCTACATTTCTACAACCAAATGTGATGATGGACCATATCATACTAGGCAGATCATTCCAACCTCTACAGTTGAAACATGAGGTAAGTTTACTGCAAACGCAGGGCCCCGGCTGTTCCTTCTCAAGAACTCATAGCCGAAGTTTATCACAATCTGCTTTATCAGACCAGACCCGCTTTTCGCCTTCATATGGGAGCGGCCCGTTATGAAGGACATGCCTGCCTCCCTTGCCTCCATCAGCTCCTGCAGCTCGCCGCGCACCTCCCGGTCTATCTTTGTGTCCTTTGGAAGTGCAAACCTCACCCTCTTTGGCTTCGGTGCCGTCGTGTTTGGATTTATCTCCTTATGAGCAGATGATCCTGTTGAATCTGATCCATCAAACTCACCTTCCTCCTCCTCAAGTGGAAGGCCTTTACTGATGAAAGATAGCCCCTCACATGAATGGCTTGCGCCGTCCATAAAACTGTTTTGGTTAGAGTCCGCACAGCGGATGAACTCTGCAATACTGCTGACTAGATCCTTCTCAAACTCTACATCATCCTTCTGTACATCACGGTAACCATACCGGACAATCACTCTGTATATCCTATACTTTTTTGGGCCAATGCGGCCAACCAAAAATCGCTCCTCAGGCTGAACGTGTGGTACGGATACTGATTTAATGCATAGAAACACCAGAACCTGAAGAAAAAAAAATATTTTTTTGATTATTGTAGGAAATTGGATTCAGGTAGATGCGTGTACTGGTTCATTAAGATTGTTCTGCAACATTTGTTTGGTGGAAATAAAAATAATATACTCCTAGCTTTGACATTATAATAATGAGACAATTACAATAATTTACCTGATGAAACGCAGGCAAGTTGGTCACAAAGTGGGAGAAAATGGCTGGAATCCCTGACATAAGCTCTGTGTGTATCAGACCAATTCCTCGTACACGAACAATTCCCAAGGAAGGGCCAATATTCAAGAGCCAACTTATGGAGACCTTGTTTTGCACATCAAACTCATACTTCTTTTTAGTTCCATAGTGCCACACACACATCACCATCATGAAAATGAAGGAAAGAGTGACAGGTACCCAAGCCCCTTCGTGAAACTTCACAAGTGAAGCCGCGAAGTAGATTACTTCGATTGCACCAAAGAAAAGAAGGAAGCTGAGAGCATAGACAATGCTCTTGTTCCAGCAAAGAAGAATAACCAGTGACATCAAACATGTCGTGACGAGCATAACAGTTATAACTGCAAGCCCTGAACCAAGAAGAAAACAGTCAAACATGTCAAATTGCATACAAACATACAGGGAAAACATAATATGGTAAAAGAAAGTATCCTGTTTTAAGATAACAAAATCGTATACTTGTACAAGTTGACCTTTACCTTGTGCGTTTGTCAAGTGCTTTGTGTCTCTGAAGCCTATAGTTACAGAAAGGCATAGTATCATTAATATCCAATTGATCTCTGGTATGTATATCTGACCATGCACTGTAGAGGATGTATGCACAATCTTCACCCTAGGGAAGCAGTTTAAGGACGAACACTGCTTGATAATTGAGAAAGTCCCAGTGATAATTGCTTGGCTGCCAACTACAGATGCCAGTATTGCAATCCCCAGAACAGGCCATCTGATTTTTTCTAGAAAGAGATTATTGCATAAGTAAATACCAAAGGAGAATTTGGCTATGCCAACTAAACTTTAGTCCATGAGGATTAAGTAGGCAAATAAAAAGAGTACCTGGCACTGATACGTAGAATCCAATATGACTGCCATCCTCAAAATTGTGATGGCGTGAAATGTAAGCAGCTTGACCCATATAGGCCAGTACAAGCGCTGGGTAAACCAATAGTGTGAAAGCCATCTGTTGGCAATAGCAGAAAAGAAGGGGTGGTCAGGATTTTTATTTACTTCTTATAAAGTAGTAGTTGATGGTGATGGTGTGTTCTACACCCACCCTCCACTCTAGAGGATCTTCTGTGAGTCCATACATGCACAAATTTATATGTTGTTTGCAAGATTTTTATAAAAAGAAAGATGGGTACTTTATACTTTATATTGAACAGAACTACACATTATTTAAACATTTTATAGATGTTCATCATATAAATATTCGCCATATATAGTTCAATATTCAAAATATTTTCCTCACTTTAAATTCACCTGCTTTGTCTATCCCAAGTCAAAACAAAAATATTTGTTATTTTCCTTGTATTACCTATCTAATTTATATATAGACTCCAAAGCTCTTTAATGTTCTTTTTGAAGGAATGGAAGAATGGATTAACACAAAATGCTTCCCAAGTTGCTAAACGGTGTGATTTTAGCAAAACAAAAAAAAACTTTCTATATATGAATTTCTTAAAGAACTGTTTTAAATCCATTCTTCAACTTTACCTTTGATGCAATATGTAAGGAAATATGAAATTGGTGTGTTTTTCTATTTCAGTCTAATGATGCGGGTTCGATTCCTGCTACCCGTTAGAACGTAATTCAGTTTTCCACTCTTAGTGGCAAAGAAATGACAGGACAAGTGTCAAAAAAATTATGTGATATGATCATGTTATGGTCTGGTCAATGTTATAAAATGATCATGTCATACCTTTATTGAGTTCTGTGTGAAATGTCCAAGGTCTGCATACATAGCTTCAGAGCCTAAGAATATCAAAATTGTCACAAAAGATCCAGCATATCATCGTTTATGCAAAACGGCGGAACTGAATGATGTAAAACATCCTAATTTGTTTCCTTACCGGTTACGCATAAAAGGATTCCACCAAGCGACATCCAACCTCCTGTTTGAGTCTTTCGGAGAAATTTATACATGTAGTATGGTGAAAGGGCTTGATACACATGGGGGTTCCAATGGATGATGTTGTACACCCCTATGATGCTGATGCAGAGAAGCCATAAGCAAACAATAGGTGCGAAAAGAAACCCAACCCTGTGTGTGCCGTAGTGTTGCAAGGCGAATAAGCACACCAGTATCACGCATGTTATTGGAAGCAATATATCTGCAAAAATCAGCATCAGAAACACTAATCATCAACTAGGTATTCAGAAAAAAAAAATGAACAAGTTTTTAGTTTCAATTCAATCAGACTCAACAATCGCCATTGCACGATATCGAAATGGAAGTTGAAGAAGCAATTGAACCTACATTTGTGTTGGTCCTTGTCCATGGACAACTCCAGCCCGGAAACCGCTGAGAACACTGCAAAAGAGAGTAACATAGAACATCAGATTATACCAAAATCAACGCAATTTGCCATTTGCATAGCCAAAATTCACTCAAATTGAAAAAATTGAAATCCCAGACGAGTAGGGGGAAGTGCTCGACCGGAGACAGCAGGGGTGAGCACGCCGTCGCCGATGACCATGCACGTCCCGAGCAGCGCGAGCAGCAGCAGCAGCCTCTGCAGGACACGGTGCCGCTCCAGCGCGGCGCGCACGGCCGACACGGGCGCCGCCGCGGCGCCCGCAGCGTCAAGCTCCTCGCCGGCAGCGGCGGCGGCGCAGGGGGGGAGGAGGCCGGCGCGGACGCGGCGGCAGATGAGGGAGTAGAGCGCGAAGGTGCCGCCCTCGCCGGCGTCGTCGGCGCGGAGCACGAGGAGGACGTACTTGGCGAGCGGGACGAGGGTGAGCGTCCAGAACACGAGCGAGAGGGCGCCGTAGATCTCCTCGTTCCCCGCCGAGTGCTCGATGTCGCCGCCGGCGAACGCGCTCCTGTACACGTACAGCGGCGCCGCCGCCACCTCGCCGTACACCACCCCGAGGCTCTGGTACGCCAGCACCGCCTCCTCCCGCCACCACCACCACCCCCCCTTGCAATCCACCATCAAACACCCATCAAACATCAAACCAAGAACCCAACCAAAAAGAGAAGAAGAAAAAAAATGGCGCCCCGCCGCCGCCTCACCTTCCTCCGCGCCGCCGCGCCGCCGCCCTCCACATCCATTCCCGCCAAACTCGCTCCCTCAACTTGCCAACTTTGTCTCTCCCATTGCGACGAATCGAGAGCGCAGAGGAGAAAGATTTGATTTGGTTTTTGCCACGCAAACTACTCCGATATAAATAATTGGCAAGATTTCTCTCGGATGAGAGGACAAGCGGCAGAAGCAAGAGATTAGCCAAGCAAGCTCTCACTTCCTTCTAGTACATTCCTTTCCCTGCAAGAACTACTCTACTAATCCTCTTGTAGCACTTGGTTTGCTTGCTTGAAATCTTCTTGTCTACTCTGTACTTATCACCATATTTAACAAATCCAAATCAGATAAACACAGCACACCTACTGGGAGAGAGAAAAAAGGAGAGATCTAGAGAAGAGACACAAGAACTCAATTCTGTTGCAATCTCTCACAAATCAATCCAAAGGATCGTTGTATCCAAATCCTTCTTCTTCTTTTTTTTTTTTACACAAGAGTGAGACTTTCTACTGCTGGCTACTTATTATAGCAGCAGAGGCGTAAAGATGATTTGGCAAGATAACCGTATCAGGGACAAGTTGATAGGTGGTTGCTCATTTTGGGAAGCAGGCGTTTCCTGCCGTGGGTGGGATCACCGGCTGTGGCTATCACTACCAGAAAAGATAGGCTGCTTTTCTCGGGCGCATTTAACTATTTACTACTTTTAATATGGTGTTTAATAATTTATCACTTATTATATATCTACAATATGTGAACTTCTCGTGTTTTAATAATATATAAATCCAGACAATAAATTATTAAATATTACTCCCTCCGTTCTATTTTAAGCGCAGCCATGAGTTTCTATGTCTAACTTTAAGCGTCCGTCATATTTAATTTTTTTTTGAAAAAAAATAAAAATATAAGTCATGCCTAAAGTACTGTTCACATTTTATCATCTAATAGCAATAAAAATACTAATAAAAAAATCAAATAAGACGGACAATCAAAATTGGATACGGAAACGTATGGGAAAACTCATGGCTACGCTTAAAATAGAACGGAGGAAGTATATCTAAAAGCAGAAAAATATTTAAATATCTCTCATTTCTCCTATGCTTCCATTTTGCTTCTACACTGCTGCGGCTACTTATTTTTCTGCTTTTTTTTTCTGGTCTGAACATGGGATCTGATTCTTCAAAAGGAAATTGACGTTTCTTGGTAGAAGTCATCATTGGTGAACTGCTGATGTCTGCCGCTAATTAAGCCTTTCGTCCCAATTTGAGTGGCATGCAGTAACATGTAAAACCTTCGTCGTTGATGTGGTCCTCTTTAAATACAACTTTCATCGATAATTTTTCATCGTTATATATCTATTAACTTATTAAAAGAATAGAAAAAGAAACCTCCACGTTCGCTCTTACGACCTAAAAATTCTCATATTAATCGGAAAAAAAGAAAAATAGAGTCCATATAGAAATACAATTTAGAAATAGTTGAAGTTCGAAATTAAATAATAAGGAATATTGGAAGAGGAGACTAGAGTCCATATAGAAATACAATTTAGAAATAACTAAAACTCATAATTAAGAAATAAAGAATATTACAAGAACAGTATAGAGTCTATATAGAAATACAATTAAGAAATAATAGAAATTCGGAATTAAAAATAAGGAATATTAGAAGTAGAGTATAGAGTCCATATAGAAATTTAAAACTAACTAAAATTCGGAATAAACATAATAAAATTAAAACTAAAGTTTAGAGTCCGTATAAAAATAATATTTACAAATAACTAAAATTTGAAATTAAAGAAACATGGAAAGAAAAGTCTAAAGTCAATATAGGAATACAATTTAGAAGTAACTGAAATTCGAAATTAAAAATTAAAGAATATTGAAAGATAAGTTTAGAGTCCACATAGAAATACAATTAGAAATAATAAAAATTTAGAAATAAAAATAAATAATATTTAAAGAAGAGCCTAGAGTCTATAAAAAATACAATTTATAGATAACGAAAATTTTGAATTAAAAAACAAGAAGTATTGAAAGACAAGTCTAGAGTCCATATAGGAATATAGTTTAGAAATAAATAAAATTTGATATTAAAACTAATTAATTACTAACACGTATATAAAATATAATATGAATATTACACATTAGTAGTTTCATAAAGTTAGTACAAAATTTAAAATTATGTTGTCATTTTAATATATTTTCATAATAAATTAAGAAAACATATATTAATTGTATTATATAAGATAAAATATAATGATGCTAGCCACGCAATCTGCGTGGGCCACCATGCTAGTTTTTTTTAAAAAAAACTAGATTTTATAGTTAAATATTTACAAGATCATGAGAACTTTTTTTTAAAAAAAATATCATATCGTACATGTTGAAAGTTTTTAAAAAAGTTTAACCAAATACAGAAAAATAACTAGCCTAAAAAATACAGAAAATACCAAATAGTATTTGGTAACTACATAACCAACCAATAAAAGAAAAGTAGCACTATAAATAATCTTATATATGGAGACGATTTTATATATTAGGTTGGAACTCATGTGGTGCCACCTAATAACACGTAGGTCACCATTGTGCAAGTTCATGGAAATTTACACGTAGCACTCCACCTCTTTGCGTTCTTCCGACAAAAGTCAAAGATGAAATGAGCCAACGATTTCATTAGTGATTTTTCAAACGATGAAGGGACAACTCTAAACACAACATAAAATGTCCCCGTCTAAACTTGACTCCGCAGTTCATCCAAAAAGTTTAAGTTGACACAGATGAGTCGTCATTTCACCTAGCTAAAAGTTTTAACTTGATAAAGGCGACATGATTTAAATTCACGAACTCTGTCTCTAATACTAAAGTTGGGTTGAATCCACGGTACTGCAGAGTTAGAGCAAGTTTAATAGTATAGCGCACTGTTAGCTTTAATTCATCTATATCTAATCTAATAGCTCATTCATACAATAGTTATATACTACACTATTAATATCTGGTCCCACCTGTCATACACACACTGTGTCTTGGAGTCCGTGCTACAGTTGGCTTCAAATCTATAGCCCGCTGTCTTTCTCTCTTCTTATTTATCTTATTTATCTGTTTAAAATATGTTTGCAGCTGGCATATAGCCTGTTATTGTACCTGCTCTTATTCAGAAAGCTAGCCTACGAATATTAAGAGCAGACATGCAATTTCAACAAACACTAGCTAGGCACTTGTGAGTTGTGACATTTAAGTTGCCATCTCTCTCCATCATAGCAGTTGCTCTCCCTGTACGGCGCTTGCTGGAGTGTGGCCGAAGCTTGATAATTAAGCAGAGATGACGACGTGTGGGTGTGGCCTTGAGGGAGACCACATGTCCACATATACATACGGAGACAATGTAAGATATAACGAATTATTGGCGGTGACCATATATATATAAACAACAAAGCAGATCGACCAAACAATCAAAACCACATAATGGATCAGCGATAATTAATTACTCCCTCTGTACTTAAATATCGAACGCAGTTAACTTTTTTAAATATGTTTAACCGTTCGTCTTATTAAAATTTTTTGTGAAATATGTAAAACTATAAATATACATAAAAGTATATTTAAAAATAAATCAAATGATAGGAAAAGAATTAATAATTACTTAAATTTTTTTAATAAGACGAACGGTCAAACATATTTAAAAAAATTAACAGCGTTAAATATTTAGAGACGGAGGGAGTGATTACTACCGGTGAAATGGTTGGATCATGCATGCGTGAATTGAGAACTATACACACATATACTCCAATGGCAGTGGCCATTGCATCGTCAGCACGACGGTATGGATAGATACGGCTTAATTAGTCATTATATTAGTGGATCGGTCGATCCATTGATCGATCAGCTTGTTAGGTATTAGGTAAGTGTGGTCTGCTGTTTACGCATCCGGTTCCCGGATTAATCAAATCGCAAAATCAAAATATAAACAAAACGCGAGGCCGGTTTGGGTTCCCGGATTAATTAAACAAGCAACAAATTAAAACGAGGTGTACGTCTGTCTGAAGAACAAACCTACGTTTGAATCGCTCGCTACTATACTGTTGCTGTGTCAACGATGGATATGATCGATCGATGCGTCTATATATGTGGTGTGGCAGAAGTAAACGATCATGTGGTAACTAATTTAATCATATATCGTTTGCTGATCATGCTGATGATGCTAGTTCTTGTTTAAGAGTAGAACTAGAAGATCGTCGTACCTCCTGATTAATTAATCTTCAGAAATTCAGCGTATTATCATATCTCTGTACTAGCTTGTCTGTCGCCTAGCATGCATGCATGATATATAATTTCCATGGAAATTAGAGGCAGGTTTCTCCAGTGATTTTTCCCCTTCTAGCCTGCAGGCCACAAAGTTTCATTTGTACACATATCCACCCAATTCAACAGGCAATTAATAACTTCAACAGCTATTAGCTAGCATAAAACTTTCCGAGGCATCTTGAAAGAAAATTCTACGAATTGCCTCGTGTAAACATATACTCCCTATCTAGCTAGCTACAACGACTTGGGACTTGAATTGAACACTATTGGAGACAGATGGTTCTATCGTTTGTCTTTCTTCTCCTTTTGACAAAACAAAAGGTCGTAATATTAATGGACGGCTGGGTAGGTAAACCTGGCCTATTAGTCCACCAATCCTATGGTTAAAAAAATTCCATGGAAAAGACGGGGCGACGTAGGCAAAATTCGGCTCCGGTCACATCTGGGCACTGTCTTGATGGGCAGCCAAAGCCAACCGTGTTGCCATCTCTGTCCCTGTTGCTGGGAGACAAATCTGTTGTTGTATCGTTTGTATATAGGTGTTGCACCAAGTTCAGACGTCCGAAAGAAAGCTATGGCGACAGTGAAGATTCAGACACAAAAGGGGGGGCTGTTGACATGTCATATACTGTGCTGACAAATTTGTCCTAATTAATGAAAAATTTCTTGTTTTGACCGGTTACTCGGTTGGATCTCTGATGAGTGGCCCAAATTGGTTTTCCAAGGTTTTGACATGGAAAGTCTTCTAGAGGAACCACACAAGTCCATCTCAAAAATTAATGGTGCCCTAGCCTTCGCACTTCTCTCCCCTATCCCTTTTTCTGGCATGTATATATATATATATGCACTCTTATTTTTTTTATCACTATCATAGATAAGGACATATATGACGGTTGAAAAAAGTTCAACAGTGCCAATGGATCACCTGTCCTAGACAATTGGTCGCTTAGGAGTGAGACGCATTTGTGATAATTTACCACTCGTTACTGATTTACACATCTATAACAGGTAGAAATGGTGATATCAAAAGGGAAAAAAAAATGCCATCGCCGTGCTAGCTGCCCATCACTGTCCAGCTCAATGTCGTCGTCGTCGCCGCCGCCACTATCACCATGACACCATCGTAGTAGATGCCCGCGCATCATCATCATGCTCGTATGGTTACACGCTGCCGTCATGGTCCTGTCATCGTAGTTGAGGGAACCTTGCCATCATCATATCGTCTTCATTGTCAT